CCTTCTCCTAGTTTCGCCACAACAACAGCCTGTGAGGTGGGTTGAGAGAAGGACTGGCCCAAGGTGGTTTTCATGGCTAAGGCCAGACTTGAACTTACCATCTCCTAGTTTCATGCAAAATGCCCATAAAGAGTTTCCAGTCAGCCATAAATGTAAATGTTGACTTTTCTCCAATCATAGATGTTGATTTCTCCTACTCTGCAATTTCTGTCTTCTTCTTCAGCAACTATTGCTCCATTGTAGGCAGTACCAAAGCTGTTCATTTTTGAGCATATAACAATCTCTGCAGTTGTCTTGCATAAAATCAATATTCCATGACTTTTTCCCCAACTATTTGGCCATCAATTGCCAGAACATTCTGGCTAGGGAATTCTGGGAGTTGAAGTCCACCCATCTTAATGTTGCCAAGGTTGAAACTTTTGTAAAGTATCAAGACTTGAAATGAGAGGTCTGGCTATAGGGAGGATTGAACTAATGGATAGGGATTCATTATCAGATCTTGCTTGGTTTAGTCTTCTGCCACCAAATCTTCAAGGATGTTCCAATCATTATTAGCTTGAATGCCCCAAAGGTGTTTTTTCAAGAGACAACTGGACTTCATTTTTTTTGAAGACATTTCGCTTCTCATCCAAGAAGTTTCTTCAACTCTGAGAGAAACAAGAAAGTCCAGTTGCCTCTTGAAAAATAATCTTTGGAGAACTATGACCTGGATGGCTGAGAATCTCCATAGACTATTAGCTTGAATAAAAACTTGGGAGGCAAGGGAAAAGTGTTGATTAGCAAGATATTTCCTGCTCCATATTTCAGTTTCGGTGGCTAATGCCACGGAACTCCAAACAGTAGGTTTAATAAGTGGTCATGCAAATTGAAGAACATTAGAACATGACCATCTTTCTTGAAGAGAGAAAGAGGAGTACCCCTTTAATTCTATAGATTCCTCTTTCCAGTTTCTGGCAATTTCACATTTTCTAATTAGGGAAATAAAGGCAAAATTCCTTTGATTAGCAGACCAGACAGGTGTGTTCAGTAGAGGAACTGAATAATGTGTGATGCAAATGCGAGTCCATGATAGATACCGTCAGGGGTATCTATCTTAATGGACCAACATGATCTGTTAAGTTCTGGGCAGGTTGCTCAGGCTGGCTTGGATTAGGGGCTCTTCCATGCAGGAAGAAAGTGTTGACTGAGTCTCTTGTAGGAAGTCCCCACTTGATCAGGCTGGATTCTGCTTCTGGGCAGCTAGGTCTGTTTGATGATACATTCTTTAAATTGGTGATTTATTGAGAATTAGTTGTATGACAGTGCATCATCTGTGCTGATAGACAGAGCTAGTTATATTCAGTGGACTGGGAGGAGAGCAGAAGGGATATGTTTTTGAGATAATTTTTTAGTGAATTCCAGGAATTAAAGGAGAGTATGTCAACAGCAGCTTGGCTGAAGCTGTACAGATTAAAGCAGAATTGTCATGCAGATTTAGTTGAGCTTCTTATAAATGCTCTAATCTTTGTTTATGTCCTCCATAGTGATTACATAAAGGAATTCTCTCCCAAAATTCTTCTGGGTCTGGGAAATCACTTGGCCTTTAGAGGGTTAATATTTCTTAGTTAAATCTTGATTGAAGTGACTCAAGGTTATTGCTTACTCTGCCTATCTTTGTGGTTAGTTCCACTAAGTTTTTGCCAAATGCTGTGATTAAATATTAATAGCTCCAGTTGGGAATTAGGCTGTTGGTTTCAGCTAGGAGTTTAGAGCTCAATCCAACAGCCTAACTGAGATTTAAATTAGGCAGTTATGACTTAAGGGTCAGTTGAGGGAGAAAACATGCCAAAGCTATGGGCTGGAAAGATTTGATCAGGTTCCCAGATTTTTCTCATTTTAACTATGGGTAGTCCTCCACTTACATCCATTCATTTAGTGACCGAAGTTATAATGGCACTGAAAAGATGACTTATGATGATTTTCCACACTTCCGACCATTGCAGCATTGCATGATTAAAATCTGGGTGCTTGGCAACTGGCCTGTATACACCACGAGGGTTGCAATGTCCCAAGGTCACGGGATCCCTTTTGTGACCTTTTCAGTCATTGGGGAAGCCTTTCCAACGTTACTACCTTGACAACTGCAGTGATTCACTTAACAACCATGTGAAGAAAGGTAATAAAATGGGGCAAAAGCTACTTTGCTTAAAAGTGAAAATTTGGAGTTCAGTTGTGGTTGTATGTCTAGGACTACCTGCCTCACAGAGGTGGTTGTGGTCTTGAAATTCTCCCTATTTTCAGGGCAGCTAGGAAGCAGCTACGTTGTCACTGGATGGATTTGAGATCTGGAGGTAGAAGGAATTGGCCAAAGAGAAAAGGGTTGTGTCACAGAGAAATCCCATCAATGTGTCTCTGTGTGGGTGTGTTAAGAAGACATTTTCTATAATAAGCATTTTTGGGCTAATATGTATTACATGTTGTATAGAGGAATCAATTGGTATATGTGAAAAAAATAATAATGTGTAAACCTTCTAGGATAAGAATTGGGAAGTTAAGAGTTTGGCGTTCCATTTCCTCTTTTACAAAGAGCTGGAAGAAATCTTAAAGCCTTAGTAGATGCTATTTTGATTTTTGCCAGAACAAAATAGTTGGCAGAAGTGAATAGTTATTGTCCACCCATCTGAGGTTACCTGCCTTTGCCTCTATCTGTCTACAGGTTACATAGATTACATAGATTGAATTACTGAAGATGAAAAATTATACCACTGGACTGCTGAGCTTCATAAATACCTTAAATGAGCCTTAAAGGCCATAAGTATGATATTCCTGTTTTGTGATTGATCGGTGTAACATCAAAGCAGTACAAATATGAGATCAGTCATTTCATTTTTCATTGTTAAGGTGTTCAGAAACATAAGCACTCCCTAATCCATGGATGGGCAATTATAGCAACTTTCCAATCTGTGGACTTCAACTCCCAAAATTCCTGAGTCAAGTCTATAGGTCATAAAGTTGCCATAGTTGCTCACCCCTGCCCTAATCCATGAAAAGTCAATAATAGGACTAGTTGTGCAGCTGTCAATGTGGGGGGAAAAAGTTCAGGTAGTTCTTGACTTACAACCACAATTGAGCCCAAAATTTCTGTTAAGTGAATTTTGCCCCATTTTACAGCCTTGCTTGCCCACAGTTGTTAAGTGAATCACTGCTGTTAACTTAGTAACATGATTGGGAAATGAATCTGGCTTCCACATTGACTTTGTTCGCCAGGTCACAGAAGGTGATCACATGACCCCAGGATAGTGCAATCGTCATAAATATGAACCAGTTGCCAAGCATCTGAATTTTGATGACGTGACCAAGGGGAGGCTGCAACAGTTGTGTGAAAAACAGTCCCAAGTCACTTTTTTTTCAGTGTCATTGTAACTTTGAACAGTTACTAAATGAATTGTTGCAAGTCGAGGAAAACCTAGAGCAGTGATGGCGAACCTATGACACGCGTGTCA